GCTCCTAGAAGTGCGTTTTCCTAAAGCCTGCTTCTCCGTGCCTGCATCAGAGGAGCTTGCTGTGCACGGCTGATACCTCCAGGACTTGCAAGGACCAGGCTGACCTTGTGCACGCTCTGCCTTCAGGATATTTGCTATATCTGCTGTGGGCAACGCGGAGCAGCTGGGGCTGGGTGGGAGCAGATTGCATTGCCTGGTAGCACATCAGGGGCAGTTTGTCCTTGCTGGCAGCAGATGCTCCTGCCTGGTGGAGTGGATGGTTCCCCGATTTTTGTTATGAAGGTGTTAAATGAGGCAGTAGGTGTGCCTTTGCTTCTGAAGGGCTTTGCTGACCTGGAGCCCTCTTGCAGGGGAGACGAGCACCCTGTCTCTGCAGGAAGCCAAAGGGTTTGGGTTTCTTGGGCACATACTGGCAGAATTAGAGCAGGATCACGAAAGCTTCGTGGCTGCGTGGGTGTTGTCTGGCACGACCCATTTTGATGCAGATGTGTTGGGGTTTGGGTTTTCTGCAAGCCGGGGCCAGCAGTCTCTGTGCTGAGTCAGCTGGAGCTCGAGGAGGGCATGTGGCAGTGGATACCAAGGACTTTTCTGTGCCTGCAGAGCCAACCGGTTCCCTGAAATGTGGCCACAAGGCGTTCGCACCAGCAATCTGCATAGCGCTGTAATTACAGTAGTATGGAGGAGCGGGCAGGCTGTGTTAGGTCTGCAAGCCTTTAATGGCAGTGCCTGGGCACAAAGCTGTGCTGCTAAAAGCCTTCGTCACTCACTAAATAAACTTCCAGACTCGTGCCAAGGACTTTCTTGGTGCTGGGTCCTGCTCTGTGGTGGTGGATCAGCTGCTCATGGGACCTGGTGTGCCTGCTCCCCCCCATAGCAGCATCCCTTTGCTGTGGTAGGCTTGGTAATGTGGGCAGGGATCAAGGTGAATCCAGACAGTTAGGAAGAATCCCAAAGTTAATGTAATTACAGGTGAAGGAAGATCCCACTTGTCTCCTCCCTCTTAGCCTCCTGGTGCCGTGTGTCCCCGCACGTGCTTTATTCGCACTTTGGATGCAGCAGGCAGCTCCTTTTATTCCCTGCCTGGTGTGCTCAGTACCGCCTGCCACCCCTGACCACCTTCTCTTTGCCTCTGCAGGTCCAGAGGCAGTTCCCAGCCACGCACCCAGCATGACGGACGCTCCACGGGAGGCTGGCCCCAAGCAGGCAGCACCGACGCGGCCGGAGAAACCGGCTGCAGACTTCGGCTACGTGGGGATAGACGCCATCCTGGAGCAGATGAGACGGAAAGCCATGAAGCAGGGGTTTGAGTTCAACATCATGGTTGTGGGTGAGTTCTCTCCCTGCGCCAGCTGCCCACAACGTGCTCAGCGAGTTGTTTTTGTTCTTCTGCGACGATGTTTGTCCTCTCTGGAGTCTCCTTGGGAGCAGCAGCTCGGGCTCAGCGTTGGGGTCTGTGCCTTAGGGGTCAGCAAACCCTGCTCCCAAGGAGCTGGCTTGAATTCAGCTGTCGTTAAAGCTATCGATGTGACGTGGCCTGTGGTCCCTTGAGTCTTCCCGCATCTTGGGGTGCGTTACCCATAGGCACATCCTGGAGGTGTCAGAACTCACCAGAGCCTTGCAGAGAGCTCCCTTGCCTGCTCTCCTGGGTGCCCTGCACTGGTTTGAGCAGTCAGAGAGCGCATTAAGGCTCAAGTGGTTACACTGCTGCTGGTATACCAGAACCCTAATCTTTGCTAGTATTTCCAGCAATTTGGGTAAAATTCCTACTTGTGAGGTTTCTTGTATTGTGCTGTGCAGCTCAGGCAACCATGCTACAAGTACCAGGGAAGACACTCCGTGTGTGATTTACTGGTGGGAATAAAGACCAGCAGGAGAGGTTTGCGTAGCTGAGTCATTTGACTTGAGTGGCTTCTGCTACCGGTAGCTCCTTTGGGGACCTGCAGTGCAGCACAGTGGGGAATGAGTGTCCCAGAGGGTGTCCACATGCAGGGAGGGAGGGCTGGAAGGTTGTGTGTCCAAATCCTGCTGCCTACAAGCTGCTGTTCATTAGCTTTCTGAGGCTGCAGGCTGGATGGGATGAAGAAGCTTTATTTCAGCTAGAGGCCATTGGCTGTGTTGCTGCTGCTGCTCTGGCTGCAGCTTCTGCTGAGGGGGAGTCTGTGCTCCTGCAGCCCCTGGGCTCCCAGTGCCAGGGACTGCACCAGCTGCTCGCCAGCAAAATGCTGGACATACTGGAGAGCTGGGCGGGCACTGTAGGACACTGGGCAAGGGGGAAAAGGGAAAAGAAATGGGCCTTTTCTGTTTTTTTTCCAGCTATGGGTGTCTGGCCTGGTCCCGTGGAGCCCCTCGTGTGAGCTGGGCTGTGGTCCCTGGGGCCGGGCTGTGCAGGCAGCAGCTCTCCCTGCCTGGATCTCCCAGGGGAGGTGCAGGGGGATGAGGAGAGTAAAGCCCAGGCCATGGCCCATGGCATGGTGGTGGGGCCTCGCCAGCCCACTTTCTCCTCCTGTGAGGAGTTGCGTAGGGCTGCTGCGGGTTTGTGCAGGGATGCCCGTGGGGTAGGAGCCCCCACGGCCCGGGGGATTTTCCTGGGGTTACAGGAGGGCCTGAGCCAGAGTTTGCTAATTCTGTAAAAGATACTAGTGTGCTGTAGCTTCCCAGCGAGCTCTGCTGATGCTCTGCCTTTCCCATTTTGATCTTTTCATACATGAATTGATCTATGGGGAGGGCTCCCTAGGCTGAGAGATCGCTGCAAACCCAGTCACTGCAGAACTAGTTCTTGCAAGGTTTTTTTAACAAACCCAGCTCTTCACTGCCAGTGGAGCGGCCCCCTGGGGCAGAGGGGTCACAGCACTGATCCTGAGAGTTTGCAAGTGAGATTGCATGAGCTGAGCCCCCGTTTCCCTGCCAGAAGAGGCACCCATCCCTCTGCGAGCAGGCTGTGCCGCGGCAGCGCCTTAGCTTTCTGCTTTGCAGATGTGAAGGGATGTTCAGGAAAGGGCCCGGCTTTGCCTTGGCAGCGCTGTGTGTGGTATGAAAGCCTGTGCTGCAGCGTGGCTGGAAAACATTGTTCTTCCCTTGGCAGGCTCTGGGCTGACTGTTTACAGGCTGGGGAATTCATGGCAGCATAAACAAGTCAAGCTCTGGCCCTCCCAGAAGATGCGGGGAGGGATACGAGAGGAGCAGCACCTCATGGAGTGCCCTCGGGGAAGGGGTGCTGTGCTGAGGCTGGGAGGCAGCAGCCAGCCCTCATCCCACTGCGTTTCTGTAGGGGATGGTTGGACTTCCCGGGATGAGTTTAGCTCCTTTATTCCCATCCAGCCTAAGCTGCAAGTCCTTGAATTGAAGTTGTTGCAATCCCTGTTTTACAGGCAGGAGATGAGGGGAAGGAGGGAGGCGGTTTCTCCTGCGTGGGAGGTGGACATTGAGCACTGCTGTGGTGGGGGGTCACTCTGCCCAAACCACGTCCCAGTGATGGGGCTTTTTGAAAATCCTCTGCCCTGTGTACCAGGGTCCGTGTTCAAAAAGGGTTCACCAGCCTCACCGAAGCTCTGAGAGGTGGCTTCAGGCTGAGGTCAGCTTAGCCCTGTGTCCTGTCAGTCTGTGGAGACAAGAAAAAAGGTCTATGCTTAAAAAAAAACCCAAAGCACATCTTTTGTGTTCAGTTTTTGGTGGAGAGCAGCTGGAAGGAGAGAAGAGGAGAGCTGACCAGGCACGGTGGGGCTCAGCTCAGGGAAATGCAGTGGGCTACAAACCAGGGGAGGTGGGAGCGGGTCTGCCCCATGCTCAGCCGCCCGCGCCGGGGCCGTCGGGTCCCTGGGGTGCAGCTGCATCCGTCGCTCGGTGAGGTCAGCCTGCAGCCGCGGTTTGGAGGGGGACATCGCATCTGTGGCCACTGGCGGGTCTTGCCTCTGGTCCCTTTCCAGGCAGTGCAGCTCCGGCAGCTTGGACAAGCACGAACGCAGAGACCGACTGCCAGGAGCTCGAGCAGCGCGTCGCCCTGCTTTCCACCTCTCCCCGTGTGCTCTGTTTAATGATGAGCAGTGCAACAAGAGCTTCGCTTTGGCTCCCTGCATTTGCAGCTCCAGACCTGTTTGTGCTTGGCCCCGCATGTTTTCAGGCAGCAGAGGACCGGGAGCACCTGACCCCAGCCTGGTCCACGTGTTTCTTCTACCAGCCAGCTGTGAGAGTGGCTGGCAGACAGAGTTTTCCTGCGCTGGCTTGCAGTGTGCCATCAGTAGCGTTGCAAACTCAGCTCTAAATTCCTGTTTGATCAGGGAGCGGGCTGGCCAGGAGGTGATGCCCAGTGCCGATGTGCTGTTTGACCCTACTGTTGGCTTAATGTTGGGTGCCTTTGGCAGCCTGGATGGGTCAGGAACCTGAAGGACGTAGGTGAAACAATTGCTGGCTCTGGCTTAGAGATACTCTGCGGTGCTAGGGACATGCTGGTGGTCGTGCTGCGATAGCTGGCTGCAATGTGGCTCGGCAGAATGAGGCTGAAGCGGTCCCCATGGTGTATGCAGGAGCCCTGCAGTGATTGCAGGGGGCGCAGTACATCTGGTGTGAAGCCAAGCGTCCGCTTCTTGGGTTTTGAGGAGTTGCTCTGTTTTCTTTGCTCTGGAAAAATTGTTTTCCAAGCTTGTGGGACAAGTTGTCTGGAGAGTCAAGAGCTGCAGGTGTCCTTTCTGCACAGATCTGCCTTAGCTCTGGGATATAAAGTATGAAAATGCTTCTTTCTAAAAGCTGTTTTTTCTGAAGTTGTGGAATCTGATGCGCTTCCTGGGATGTCGTTTGTGGGACTTGGAGGAGCTCCTGGCCTAAACCTGCTTAAAGGGATCTGTGCAGCCAGCTGGTCTGATTGCAAAAGCAAGTCCAGTGGGGAAGCAGCAGCGCATGCTGCGAGGCTGGGATTTGGAAGGCTGTTGCTGCTGTTAATCCTGTCCAACACAGGGCTTGCCAAGCTGCTCCGAAGTCTTCCTTGTGGAGCTGGACAGGAGAGGCTGCAGGAGGGTAAAGGCACAGATGTGTCAGGACGCTACTTCCTGGGGTTCCCTGGTCCCCGTGCCCTTCTTCAGGGCTGCTGAATGTCACTGCAGCATTGGGGGATGGTGTCTGCCTGTCCTCGGGGTTGCTGTGATTTCGGCTGGATACAGGGAACCAGCTCTTGACCTGCTCACTCCCCTCCAAGCCTGCTGCTTTGGAGCCAGGGAAGATGCTTGCTGCCCGCAGCATCCTCCTGCCCAGGATGGACTCAAGCTCCTTGAGCCAGGGAGGCTGCAGGGAAGCAGCTGCCCCTCTTGTCTCCCTCCCGCAGATCCGGTGCAGGCTGAGTCTGTCACCATCCCCATCCCCTGGCCCCTGAAAAAACAGCCCGGAAACAAGTGAGTGCTGACTGTGGTTTATCCTGCTCTTTTCCAGGTCAGAGTGGCTTAGGGAAATCCACATTAATCAACACCCTCTTCAAATCCAAAATCAGCCGGAAATCTGTACAGCCGACTTCTGAAGAGCGGATCCCCAAGACCATTGAAATCAAATCCATCACTCACGGTGAGGCTCTGCAGATCCCACCTGGTGCTTTGGCTTTTGGTCCTGCTCTGACTTGTGTCTGCAGGGGCTCGTGGGCATTGTGGACCTCTACTGAACCTCCACTGTCATCTTTCTGAAGGGGCTTTTACCATTCAGAGGTGCTCGCAGGGCTGAGAAAATGTCTATTTTTTCTTTATCCACCAGCGTTGACTTAATTGTGATGGAAGGGAACAAGTGAGGTGGCCATGGGGGCTAGTATTTCAGGGCAGATGTGGTGCTGCATCCCTTTAGGGGGCTAATTTGTACCTGTTAGAAGCTGTGAAAGTGCGTCTCTCCCCTGGGAGCAAGCTCCAGCCCTCTGTCTGATTTTGGGAGGGTGGGCTTGGCCAGAGTGCCCATCGACGCTTGCCTCACGCACCAGCTTTCCTCTCTGTTTCAGAGATTGAAGAGAAGGGGGTTCGGATGAAGCTGACAGTCATCGACACCCCGGGCTTTGGAGACCACATCAACAATGAGAACTGGTGAGCTGGCTGTGCTGACGTGGGGACTGGTGCGGGGGGAAAGCGGCCGAGCCCCAGGGCATCCTGACCTGGTGCTGGTGCCAAGGGCTGTGGCCTGGTCCTGTGCCACCCATGCTCCGTGGGGACCAAGGGAGAGGGTTGTTGTGGGTGGCAGCGTGGTGCTGTGCTTCCCAGGGCTGATCCTGGACCCACAACCATCCTGCTGTTCCGGGCATGAGACAACCTTTGTTTGCGGCCGGGAGCAGCTGTGCGCTGGCGTGGCCGGTCCCCGGACCTTGCTCGTGTGGCTCTGAAGGCTGAGCTCTGCCAGGAGCCCCTGGGACAGTGGCTGGCTGTGCGGGATGGCCCCCCCGGGCTGGGGCAGGGCTGGCCTGGCTGGCCGATGGCAGGTGCCTTCTCCTCACCGTGAGCTGGGCTGGGCTTGTGGGGTTTGATGCTGCTCTGGCTTCTGTGCCATGACACTGTGCAGGGAGCCAAGGGCCGCTGCCAGTCCCGCCCTGCTCAGCCAGGAGAAGGGAGGACTTTTTAGGCATTTGCTTGTCTTAACCCAGCCAGTAAATCCCTTCCTGCGGCGGTGCGTGGAGTTGCCAAGCGGTGAACGCGTGAGGTTTGTGATTTCCCCGCCGCCTGCACGTGCTTGTGTGAGTGGGAGCTGACAGGAAATAAAACGTTCCCCGTGTGAGTGTGTTTGGTTTTGTTTGTTTGTTTTATGGGCTTCTTGTAAGATGCTGAGCATCCCTGACTCGGCAGGCTCTGCTCCACACAGTCAGGCCAGATGGGAGGTTCAGGGTGGTCCAGATCCCTCACACAAACCCATTGTCCCATGTTGCTCCCTCTCTGCAGCTGGCAGCCCATCATGAAGTTCATCAATGACCAGTACGAGAAGTACCTGCAGGAGGAAATCAACATTAACCGGAAGAAGCGGATCCCTGACACGCGGGTGCACTGCTGTATATACTTCATCCCAGCCACTGGCCACTCGTACGTACCCTGCCGTCCTCGCTCAGGCCCTTGGGGCTTCCTTCTCCTGCGTTAGGTCTCAGGCAGCTCAGCCATCAGGGTTGTCCTTGGGTTCCCCCTGCATTTCCTGGGGACTTGAGGAGCTTGAGGGCGGCTTGAAGCTGTCCTTCCTAGGGCTGTAGCATCTGGAGCCCTCACAATAACACAGCAGAGCTGCTGTACCCCAGAGAGACGTGGCCTTTCTTCTTCTGAGGGGCCATCAAAGCCTCCCTGAGCTCTGGTTAGCTGCTTGCTTTGCTTTGGTCACCTTGCTTGGTTGGCCAAGGGTGGACACCAGTCACTGAGCTCTCAAATCGGATGGAAAGGCTGCCTTTGCAAACAGAACATTAATTTTTTTTTTTTTTTTTTTGCTGTGCCCCTGCCTTTGTAAGGGGAGAAGCTGGTTTTCCTTGTGCTACGGGGGGAGTGAACACCCTCGCCCTTTAAGGGTATTTTCTAGGTTGTTTGACTAGTCTGGAAGTGGGATGCAGTTCATTCAGCGCAGAGCTCTCCTGGCTCTGGCACTTCTCAAGTGACAGCATCAAAGGTCCGGATCTTGCTTGCTTTATTTTTTCTTTTTTTTTTTTTTTTTTTTTTTTTTTTTTTTTCTAGGCACGTAGCCCGCAGTGAAAATCTGGGGCGCTTAAAGTGTCTTGAAAAATGTGACTTACAAGAATCACAACATAAAATGAGACCTAAGTTTCCTTTTGATTTGTGTCAATTCCTTCCACTTCTGGCTCCGTCTGTGTCGGGATTTTTTTGGGTCTGTTTTCAAAAGTAAACTTAAGCTGCCAGCACTGTATTAATGTCAGCCTTTTCCTCTTCCCCCTGTAGAGACTTATTCCAATAGAAAAGAGTTTGTTTTGCTTCTGTCAGTGGGTAGACCAAAAATGCATCCTTCATTGGAATAAAATGACTGCATGGGCCAGATATGCTCTTCTTGTGTAACTGCCTGTCGATTGGGAGCAGAGGGGCCGACGAAACTTTTATGGTTTAATACGATAAAGCAGAAAATGTTTCAAAGGAAGATGACGTTTTTAGGCCAGTCTAGCGTGTTGGTCCTGCTTATCTCAGCCCCAATCTGCAGACCCTGCCTCGGCAGGTCGGAGTGTTGCAGCATTACCCACGTTCGAGCTTTTTCTGATCGCTTTGGGTGTTTAACTCTTAAAAGCGCGTCTGATGCTTAAACCTACCTGACAGAGGCTGCACATTTTGGGTGGTGGCAGCTGCCCTTCTTGAGCCACACAGGCGGTGGCGTGGAGCCCCGTCCCCATGTCGTCCCCCCCCGGAGCCTCTCCAGCCGTGCGCTCTGGTTTCTCTCACCCGCCGGCTAACAGCAATTGTGTGGATATTCAGCTGCTTTTTTTCTTTCTCTACAACAAACATGTGTTTCTAATATCCGAGCAAGCCTGGCGGTTGGAGGCCGTTGTTGCTGAGCCCTGCACTGATCCTCCTTCCCTGTAGCCTGATAGCCTGGCTGGGGCCAGCGCTCGCCCCCCGGCCATGGCTTGGGGGCTGCACTTTCCTGCCCTGGTGTCAGAGCTGGCCTCTGGCTCGCACATTCCTTCCTGCTGCGGGACGGGACAGAGATAAGCCAAGGAATGAGTGAAGGGGGACAAACCCTACCAGGAAGGAGACGTCAGTGGGAAGTTTTGCTTCTCTCAGAGCTTGAGCAAGCACTGGGTTTCCTTTCTGCTCCCTTGTGAAGCCCAAGTTACGTTTCTCATCGTCATGGACAGGCTTTCCCCATTGCTTCCCGTGGTCCATGGACGCAAATGGATGGCGTGGCCACCTCTCTTGCTGGGTGGAGCTGCTGCAGCCGCGCTGGTAGCAGAGGATCATGCTCGTTTTGGAGCACAGGGGCTTCGGAGGCCATATCATGGGGTTGTCACACCTGAGTGCAGGTTTGTGCCCCTGCCAGGGCAGGCGGTCTGTGGTCCCTTGCAGAAGGGTGTGGGAAGGGCATCGAGGGCCTTGCTGTGGTGTATCTGGCTTCGCCAGGAGGTGATGGGGAGCATGGCTGGCAAGGGCAGTGGTGTTGCAGGGATCTGTACTAGGGACATCCATACCCAGCTGCGGAGGACACCACCGTGCCCACGTGGCACCATCCGTGTGCTGCCTGTGCCGCTCGCCATCCCAGGATGCCTGGTGTCACCTGCCCTGGGATAGTGCTTGCACGGAGCTTGTTTGCGTTGCCTTTGGGGAGCTGCTGCCTTCACTATGACACAGTCAAAGCAGCGGTGACTCGTGTCCGTCGGTCCCTCCCTGCTCAAGTGAATGGGCACGGCACAGGACTCAGCACAGGGCTTGGCATCCCCTCCCTGGCATGTGGATGCTGCAGGCAGCCAGGGCTAAGCCTGGCATTGGGTGAGAGCTTGCTTTTTTCTTAGGTAAAAAGGGGGTGGGGGTGCAAAGCTAACCAGGCGCACAGATTCAGAGGCTGGAGTGGAGGATTGCTTGGCTCCGTTTCCATCTGGCCCTCTGATCCGGGCAGCTCAAGGGTTAATCAGCAGGGAAGTTTCCCCTGCTGTCTCCCTTTGCGGGGAGTTCGGGGCAGGCTTTGCAACCCATCTAGTTTGCACACACCCTGTCCTTCTTGTAACACTCCTGTAAAACCATGTTTGTGAAGGCTAAGTAATGTCCTGGCAGGGGCTTTTGGCTGCAGTCGCGCAAGCCCAGCTCTTTGCCACCCAATAAATATCTCAGCTCTGACCCCTGCGAAGCACTGCTCGGCGCTGAAACAGGGCTCTGAAACCGCCCCGGCCTCGGCAGCCCCTTTTCTGCCCGCACCAGAGCTGTTGGCTGACAGACTGCCACCCACTGCCTCTTGCCCTGCTAGCTGCCCCTCTTGGGTGCCCACCAGGTCCCTTGAGCCGGCTGATGGGTCCTAGTGGTGGGGTTGGGCAACTGCTGGGTGCTCACTGGTGGTTGCTTAATGCACGGCTCAAATTCTTGCTGCTAGTTTGATCTGGGGCACAACCCAAAGGAAATAACTTTGCAGCTCGCTGTGAGTTTTGATTCCTACAATGGCATTTCAAGGGAACCAGCAGGACTGACGCCTCTGCTTAGATCCTGTGCATGCACGGTGGCTGTGGGCGATGCAGAAATAATGTGTGCCCAGCTGCTCTGCTTTCCCCATCCCAACAAGAGGGGTTGAGGGAGCAACCAGCACTGTCCAGGGTGGGCTGGAGCCCTTCCTGCAGCTCCTGCTCCAGCCCATCCCTGGAGCTCCTCCGCTCCCTCCCAGCAAAGCCCAAAGTGTGTGTATATCCAGTTGGAAGTTAATCATGTGGCAGACCATTTGGGGAAGGGGAAGAAAAGAGAAGCTTTTTCTTCTTGAGCACTACCTTCTCTTTCGTGATCTGCTTGGAGCAGGTTGCACCCACCTGAAGTGAAGTAACTCGCTTTCTCTTGCTGGTTTGCATGTTGATATCTGTAAGGGTTTCGCTGCCAATCCTTGCCAGGTGCTGGCATCGATGTGCAGGTGAACCAAGCTCAGATACCCAGCGGAGGCCGGCACTACTTGTGCCTGTGGCTTGTCACGGGATGGTGGTGGTTAAACACCAGAACTGGTCCCTGCAGATACCAGCAGAAGTCCCTGCTGTCCTGGGCTGTGCCTCGCAGCAGGAGTTTGAGAGGAATTTGATCTGGGCTTGCCCCATTGTGACCTTGGTCATGTCTGACTGCGTCTGTACAGAGCTATGAGTGCAAATCAAGCTCTTTGCACTTGTGATCGCCTTAAGCTGTTTATTCTCCTTTGGTGCCTTCACGTGAACATGACGTCTAGTGACAGGTCTTGTTCTGAGTGAGAAGAATCACTTTCTTCTAAATACTTAAGGTTTTTTGAGGT